ATATGAATATATATATATATATATACACACATACACATATATGCGTCTGTTGGTAACCTTAGGCTCATTCTGTATGTATGTTGCTCATTTCGAAGCTTTAACCGCCCTAAGAGGGAATACGATTCATCTTTTTTCTGTCTTAAATTAAATCGTATAGTTACCCGGTGTTTGCGTGAAAAATCTTTATTTAGCTTAGGTCGTTTAAGTTACGGGTGTTACGCTAAGGTGATCGTATCGTAGTATCGATGAAAAGGATCGTGAGTGAACTGAAAATGAAGAGGAGGAACGCAAGATTCTTTTTTCGATCTGTACTATTGTTAGGATTTCTTGTATAGAAGCTCCACCGCAGCCAAAGTAACATTTTTTTTCTCGCTTATAAGTTTATATTACATATAATTATATAATATATAAGGACGTTATTAATACGATTTTTTTTATATTAATATTTACTACAGTTTTTATACTAATATATTAATTCATAGTCCACAGAGACTTTTATAAGGATATTCGAGGAGTTAGGAAAGATCCATACAGCGAAATAGTTTCCGTCGAAATTTTATTCGAACTTTAATACTCTTTTTTTTTTAGTAATACTTGAACACGTTTCTCGCACTAGGTATATACACTGTACGCAACCTCCAGGCCATTCCTAACTCGTTGTATTGTGTATTAATTTTATATCAACATATATTCTAAGTTGCGACTTAATACTCCATTAATTTTACAAGAGTTTTGAAAGAATTTCCGATAACCTATTTTTTAGAATGCCATTTACTTTATCCTGTACTTATTATATTATGTGAATACACGAATAGACGATTTGTCTAATGTTCCGAAAATTTACATTAAAAGAGTCACTAGTATTCGATGATTTTTTTCTACTAAAGTATACACTGTATACAATGAGAACAAAGTTCGTTTGGTACTTTAAAAATAACATTATTGCATTCCATGTCGGAAACCATGGATATGGTATAAAAAGTTTGTATTTTAATGTAAATTCGAAGACTTTTGGCACGAACCGTGTATTTATTGTATCATATGCTAGGTGACATGATCTATGATTAAAAAGAAAAGTATATGTTTGTTAGTCGAACCAAGATATGATCACCCTACGTTATTAGTGAGTTGCCAGGGTTGCACACCCGCAGGGTTAGAGCTACGAAGCGTGACGAGAAACGAACAACGACGTAAATAACGGTCTTGGTTCACTTCGTTGACTTTCGAAGACTGTTAAAGAGCGAAGGAAATAGAAAAGTATAGGCAAAGTATGCAAGAAACTTCTATCACACAGGCTAGAAAAGATGCAGCGATGTCGTGAAAAATTGACTAACACCTCATAGACCACTCACTTTAAAATAATCTTCCTAAAAGGAAAAATAGAATAAAAAAGTAAAACACCAAATTCTGTCTAAAACATCACTTTCTTAATTACAACTTCCTATCTACTTCACTTTCATAATATCAATACTTTAATTGACATTAAAATTACAACATTTATATTTATACACTTCTTCTTAAATCTCCTTAAGTCTTTTACCTTTCATATAAAAAAGAATAGTTAACCAAATGGTACTCTTAATTCAATTGTCTACCAAAATTTCATATCATCTTCACCCCCTGAATTGTTCTATTAAAAATAATAAACTGCAAGCCAATATCACTGGATCCATCCTGCAAATCGACTTTCCCACCCCCTTGAAGAAACAGTTCTCGGCATCGCTGTGTCCCTTCGAGCGTGTGTATGTAACACGTGCCATATAATTGCAAAGCGCGCCTCGGGGTGGATATTATCGGGATTGTCGGGCACCGTTGATAGCGGAACGCAAGACGATCGGGTCCGCGACCGTTATTCCGGCTCGTTTCACTTATCGCAGCTTCGCGTTCCTTTCGTCCCGCGCGAGCGTGCGTGTACGTAGCTGAACGAGCCGTAAAATGTTAAACAAGTCGTTAAACTTCCTCTCGTGTTCGAATTGCGAAACGCGCTTCCGAATCTTTTATCGTCCACCGAATGCTTAGCGACCCGCGCAAAACGACGCCGAAAAGAAAGAAACGAAAGACGAAAAGCGCATGATTTGTCGGCTAGATGCGAACACGCCGAATTTCAAATATTTGTATGGTTCACCCGCGTGCGAGTAACGGTAGAACGTGGCCTTAGGCAAGGTAGATCAACGCGAGTCGAATCATAGGGTGAACCGGATCAAAATAAGACTCCAACCCACATTTATCATGTCACGAATTATATTTCTCGCTTCTTTGCCTGCTGTCTTCAAAAAGAAGGTTAAAAATTCTTGTTCATATTTTATTAGTAAGATTTAATTTTGCATTTAACACATTAAATGTGTTTTTATTCCTTTATTGTTATAAAAAAGATGATCCAATTCGCCACGGTCTACCTTCTGTTCGTTGCACGGCGAAGACCTAGAAGGAATGAGGCTAATTGATCAGCTTTCATCTTTCCGCGTTGGATTTTCGACACTAATTCGCTGTTCGTTAATACAGTTGCACTTAAATGAACAGAAGTATAAACAAAACACATAGCGAAAGATTCTTCTGCCGTGCAACGAAGAGTGTACTCCATTCTGCGTTGCTTTTAAATAACGACGATACACTGCCCTTCGATCGGCACGCAAATTAACCCTTCAAAGCTGACGCCTAATTCCCGGTTTCTGTCGATTCTTTCAAACCCTTTTCTCTGCGTTGCAGATGTTACCATGAGTTATTGATATTTTAGACTTTTTGGTACCTTCCGTGGCTATCTTTAATTGTAGTAAGTAGATGGAAACGATGATTAAATAATAAAGGAAAAGACGAAGGCGCTGGGAACGGTGTCGAAGTTAGTACCGTGCACCGGCATCGTTCCTGAAGGGTTAAAAGACAAACAGGGGAGAAAAGTGTTTGAACGTACCCGACGCTGAAACATTTCTTCCCGTTGCGAAAATCGATCTCGTACGTTTTTCTCGTAAGTTCGACAATTAATACACAGCACGATCTTTATACCGTTTTTTATAATCGAATCCGCGCAGCTGATCGCGGCGCTCCATCTTCATCCTCTAAAACGGGGCAAGACAGTTTTTGACCGTTTACGGTGTTACCGTGTATATGCGACCGCAAGTGAACATGTTTGTTGGTTACAGTTGCTTCTGTGGACGCCAGGCGAAACGTGAATTCTATTTCGAGATGTTATTAGGACGTGAAGTTTAGAATAATCGGGTTGAGTAGTAAGTTAAGTACCTTCGGATCTATGGTCTCGCATTGTTTCTTCTAGAAATGAGACTTCTGTATTCAGAGCGAACCAATGGTCGAGCTTTTTGATAATGCAATTTAGAACGTTTTGCTTTGCGATCACAAGTAACTTGTTAACGTAACGAAGTCTGTCAAAATGTTTAGACATCAATAAGCAATCGATAACAATGAAGTGAGAGAAACAGGTGAGATAAAAAGTTTGATACCTAGACTGCGAGTCCTTACATAAAATGAGAATTTATTGAACGAATGAAAAACTGTAGTAATTAAATAAAAATGTACTTCTTCTTTTAAGCACTTTAATAAGTAAAAATTGAGGTAGCCACGTTTTAAAGTTCGATCAAAGTTTTCTCTGTTTTACATCACACGCAGTCGTGTATGTTACATGTGCATAACATTTGCAATCTACTGATCATGAATTCGAAGGAGAATGGAGATGAAAATTACAGCATGACATGGAATGTGCGGTCAAAACAGGGTGATCTTGAAAGGTCAAAATCTGTTGTTTCGACCATAATGTCATTATTACGTGAACGATTTGTCGCGTCGAGGGTTGACAACGAAAGGTTCGGTACTGATCGCAGAAACGAGACACTCAACCCTGACTGATGACAAACGATCAGTTTACCATGTGAACTATTTCTTAAATAATCACGAATTGATCAGGGTTCTCGATTAAGTATGCGTAACAAAGAAAGCGTAAAAGAAATAATAAAAAAAATTTACACTTTCGAACGTTTGATAAGGGTGCATTAATATTATTCGTGATTTGCTAATCGAGAAAGGTTAACGGTGAAGACACCGAGATGAGAAATAATTGCGAGAACGGTAATAACACGGAATGGACGAAGGAAAGTTTGGTTGAAGAGGTGGAGGTAAAAAGGAAAAGTAGAAGGAGAAGGATAAGAAGCAGAGGAAGAAGAAAAAGAAGAAGAAGAGGAAGAAGGAGAAGAAATATTCAGTATTTTGTCAAGAATTCGTATTACCAATGTAATAAAAAGACTTTAATATATTGTTAGTATGCGTTGTAGGTATTACAGAATGAATTTAAATATAAATATACACAATATACGAAGAGACACGCGCATCTGTAAACGTGCGTGTGTGTTAATAAGAGATAATTAAGATCTTATAATTTTAAATGACTTTTAATATAGGTTTACTTGTGTAAAATAAGACAAAAAAATAATTGTGCTCAATAAATTTCAATAAATAACGATTTTGCCTATGCCAATAATGATTAATTACTGTAATTATTTTTGTATAGAGACGTAAGATATTATCTGATTATTATAAATACATTATAAATAATAATATAGTAATCGCAGCATATGTGTAATAAAAGTATTTAACATTGCACTTTACGTTCTTATTCATGTACTATACTTTTATGTTTATTGCATGTATTAACGTGTGTAATGAGTTTCATTTCGCTTTATCCCCTACAAAGTATTTCGATTGTATTATAAAACTATTTAAGGGATTGAATAGATTGTTTTTCAGTGGTTTCGAAATAATTAAATTAAGAAGTAACAAAATTACGAACCCAACAACAAATAGCAAAATTTTTATATATTAATATTTTTAATGAACAAAGTTATTGCATATAGGTCGTCAGTTACATTCTAATATAATGATATAATAATAACTCATCCGAAGAATTGGACATTCTCTTCATTATCTACTCATAAAAATTATTTTTACCTACAATTAGTAATTTTCACCATTAGATGCATAATTTCCAATTATGCAAGATATACCTCGTATGTGATGTAGTAAAATACAGTAATTTTGAAAATTATTTATAGCGTCATCTGTAGCAAAAGTCTCAAACTATTAACAAAACTTGGGACTTAAGCATTGACGAGGAATAGGGTAGGCTGGACATTTATCACTGATAAGAAACACATTTATTAAAAGAAGGGTACTTTATACAGTGAAGATAGAAACGAAGACTTTTACGCGGGGACTGAAAAGGTTCCTAAAATAACTGTTTGAAACTCTTACTTATCGATTCTGACTAAAACAATTATGAAGAACCGAAATAAATTACACTGTTATTCGGTATTTTTGATTTTCATTTCTATCTCATATAGCGCTGCCATGTAAAACCAGTCTGAGCCGATATGACAGGGCGTGACATAAAAATGGTAAGGGGTACTAGTACCCCCGAGAGCGTGTAACAAAATTTTATATTGCATGTTACGTCTATCCTATACCTTGTCTGTGATTATTACATTATATCTTTCCTTTAAATAGTACATATGCATGCGCGTTAATCTTAAATCTGTTATGACTGATTTCGCCGGAACACGTGCGTTGGTGATGCTTCAAACGATAATTGTTTATAGATCTATAAACTTGTAATAATTTAATAATAAATAGTTTACAAAATATAAATCAGAATGCCAGTAATAAGTAGAGTCGTGTGAGTATCTTCAATTTGTGCCGTGATACTGAAATTTTTGGTTATGTTTTTGATCCTTAATTTTAAACATTTATTATAGAAAACCAACTACCCATAGAGGTAAAAGGGCTATTTTGAAAAAGGAGCCGAAATTGGTAGAAAATGCTAAAGAGACTCTGTGTTTTAAAGGAAAGAACACCTCTCAACTTGTTGTTGATTTTATGAAAGATCTGGTAAGTTATACTGCAAAATCAATACTTTAATTGAAAAGTAAATATCGATACATTAATGCACATGAGTAAACACTTATTTTGAAAGATTATTAAATTAAAAAATTAAACAATTTCTTTCCCTCTCTGTTTCTCTCTCTCTGTATCTCTTTGTGTATATTATATACAATGATATCTAGACTTTCGAACTGCTCTATATACAAATTTTCCCTGCATTCCATTTTGATCTTTAGATAAAAACTTAGTTTTGAGAAATGAACCTTGATGCTTTCATAATTCCAAGTTATAATATAATGAAAAACTAGATTTCGAGATAGAAACTTCAAACTAAAACAAATTAAGTTCATAAGTCGAGACACTAGTGTATATATACTTTAAAATTTTAATATAATAATTTCATATTAATATTTTACACTATTATCCGATTTTACAGTATGACCTGAAAAAGCCCAATGCACAGATGTTGCAAAAGAAGAACGATGTACTGCCATTTGAAGATATCACACTTATTGAAAAATTTTCTGCTAAATATAATTCAGCCCTTTTTATGATAGCTCTGCACAATAAAAAACGGCCACATAATCTTGTAATGGGAAGAATGTATGAAAACACATTATTAGATATGGCGGAATTTGGTATAGAAAACTATAAAAGTTTAAAAGATTTTAAACTGCCAAAAATTTCTGAGGGGATAAAACCTTTATTGGTGTTCAATGGAGAGCTCTTTGAAAACAATCATGAGCTTGATAGAATTAAAAATTTATTTGTCGATATGTTTCAGAGAGAAGTTGTTGAAAATATTAGATTGCAAGGTCTTGAGCACGTTTTAAGTTTTACTGCTGTGGAAAATAAGATTCTTTTAAGAAGTTATCGGTAATTTCTTATTAATTTTATTAAATACTGGATGTATTTAAAATAGATGTATAAACAAATGTTGTACATTTATTTATTTAATGAAATTGTATTTCAGGATATTTTTAAAAAAATCCAATTGCCGAACACCAAGAATAGAATTGGAAGAAATAGGCCCAAGAGCAGATTTAATATGTAGACGTACAAAACTTGCTTCTGCGGATCTTTTCAAACAGGCATGCAAGAAGCCAAAAGAATTGAAGGTAACAATACTGTTTTATTATGTAAATATAATGTCTGTCTGTGTTCATGTTTGTACCTGTATGTTTGTGGATAGGGAACGCCTATAAATGATAACATAATAATTATAATTACAGATAAAAAAGAAGAAAAATATCTCCAAGAACAATCTTGGAACAACCTTTGGTCGTATACACGTTGGAGCACAAAATCTTAATAGTATTCAAACAAGAAAAATGAAAGGATTAAAGAAAACAATGTTAGAAAAGAAAGCCGGTATTAAACGAAGAAATTCTGATAATGTAACTAATGATAGTTCAAAAAAATCAAAGAATATTACTGATTCAGCTGATTAATGGGAACAAATATGTATTTAAATGTAAATCTAGTAATGTTTTTTATTTGGGATGTTATTTATAATACAAAATATTATTTAAATTCTATTCAGCTAAAAAGTTCAATTTAGTATGTCTTTAAACTCCAACAGGTTTCATTAGCAGAGTCCTACAAACAAAAAACCAGAATTATAGTTTGCTATGTGTAAAATATATAATTGTTAAAGTAATTCAAGTACTGTACCTTTACAATCACCCCGCATTTGGAAAGATCGGTTCGGGCTTCGTCACATGCAGCAAGTAAAACTTTGTCTAATACATCTTTTTCTCTGGCCCTATTTCGAACTGATTTTCTAAATTTTATAAAGTATTCAATAAGGTTATTAACTTTGCATTCATCTGCTACATTAGAATTTTCAATTCCGAACTTCGATAACATTGTAGATACGTAACTTGCTACAGTACTTATAGCAGGTATACTCCTACTTGTAGAAGACCCCTTTTATTAAACAAAGTAGAATATTTTATACAAAAATAACCTTATTTTAAATATAGTTACATTAACAATATATATATATTTAATATTAATGTATATAATACATAAATAAATATATATATTTACACTCACAGAAGAATCATGTAACATTTTATTTGTTGTATCAACTAGATTCACGATTGAGCGTATGGCTTGTGAGGTATTAAAATTATTTGTTAATGCTGTATCAACATTTTTTTTTGTTTCGTGTAAACACTAAAACAACATTATATATTCATTATTCTTGAAAGTTAAGGATATCTAAATAATTGAAAAAAACATGAGCTAACTTACACGAAGTAATGTAACTTCGTCTACATTGCTACTAGTCCATCTTCCAGCAATATAGTTATCACAATCGACAAGAAAGTGTTCAATTTTATTCATCATACTCATTGCATAGTTCATTATACCATCAGAAAACTCAATATCTGAAAATCATATAACAATATAATTAACTATATTTAATTTTCTTATTTTATCCAAATAACAAAATATACCATTCTTATAGTTAGAAAGCAAGCAAAGCATCCTAAATTGATTTCCAGTATATTTTGTAAGAAGTTCTCTTACACTGATAACATTCCCAAGACTTTTTGACATTTTAATATCTTTTAAAAATAGATGTCCACAGTGTACCCAATAATTTACCCACTGATTTATTTCATGATAAGAACACGATTGTGCTTCTTCATTTTCATGATGTGGAAAAGCAAGATCTATTCCACCACTATGAATATCTATGGAATTTCCAAAAATGGTGCTATTTAAAATGTAAATGTATATTCATATAAAAAATTATGTAATATTATTTATATTTTTCATAATACTAATAGTTTTATTCTCTAAGAATTCATATACCTTGCAATTGTACTACATTCTATATGCCATCCTGGTCTTCCATTACCCCATGGAGCTTCCCAAAATGGTTCTCCCTTTTTAGCTGCCTTCCACAGAGTAAAATCTAATGCTGATTTTTTATCAGAGTGACTGCTATCTGAGAATGGAGTCGATAGTTTGCCATACATGTTATGCTTGCTTACATCAAAATATACTGATCCTATAAATAAAGAAGTATCATTTGTTAAACATTATTTAAAGCTAATTTAATAATGAAATTATTACTGTATTAAATGTATTTACCACTTTTTCCAATATATGCTTTTTCCTTGCTTAAAATATTATTAATGAATTTAATAATTTGAGGTATAAAATCAGTAACCCTACAATACAAATTAGGTTTGGTTACATTTAACATTTTCATATCTTCAATGAATTCCTGCTCATAATGTTCTGACAAAGTCTTGAAGTTTTGATTAGTTTCATTTGCACGGTTTATGATTTTATCATCAATATCTGTTATACCCATAACCATTATAGTACTTATATTGAAATAGTCAGACAATATCCTTCTAATGATATCTGTTTTCACGTACGTACTATAAAATAAAACGTATTATTATATATAGTTTTATTAATGATGGGAGGAATAACATAAATATAACTTCTTACGCTGCATGCCCAATGTGTGCAGAATCATAAACAGTTGGACCACAAACGTACCAAGTTAAATAATTTTTATTGTTTAAAATAAGGGGTACTGTACACTTTGTTCTAGGATTATACACTTTAATATTTGTTTCATAACCAACTGGTTGTATCCATTGGAGATTTTGCTCTTGTTTCATATCATGTGTAGAACGATGACATATTCCACGTAATTTGTGTTTTAAATTCTTTGTAAACAAATTCATTTTAATTTTGCGAAGTCTTTGTTTAATCGACAAAATTTATTTGTTTTCTTAAATTTAAATACAGTCAAAATACTCTCATATTTCAGTATATTTTGAATCCATGTTTAAATTTCATTATTCATAACACTTTAGCATCGGTAGAGACAAGGTATAGGATAGACATAACATGCAATGTAAAATTTTGTCACGCTCTAGGGAGTTTCAGGACTCCTTTACTATTTTATAGACACAGTCTGTACGTATTTTAAGTCTGTGTCCAATATTTTTGATTCTAATTCTTACCACTTATAGCGCTGCCATGTAAAACCAATTTAAGTCGATCTGACACGAAAGTGGTAAGAGGATCCTAGGACCTTGGGGAGCGTATGACAAAATTTTACATTGCTTGTTACGTCTATCCTATATCTCGTCTATGCCACCGCAATTTAATAAATTAAATGTAAACTAAAATAATCACACACGGCAACAATTTTTGTGAAATATAAATTCAAGAAAAAATAAAGAATTTATTGCTTTTAAAAAATATTTCTTTTTCAAAATAATATTATTTAATTGTTAAGCAAAATGAATTTATATGTTTTGGTAACACTAATTTCACAAAGTTTCTATGCATTTGCATATTTGTAGAGTCAATTAAAAGTTTCTGTAATTACAAAATTATTTCGATAATTTTTAATTGTAAAATTTGTTCGCTCTGAAGTTAGTTACAATAGTAAGTAATTGCAGGGATCTACGGACTAAGTGTACGTCTCTGTATTTATACCCGACATTAAATTCAAGTTTCAGTGACTAGCGTTTGTCACAGCGGCTTAAACTAATTTCAAAGCAATTTTTCGGATAAAAGAAGAACTTAAAGGTAAGTGTTCTTATTTTTTAAGAATTGTATCAAATTTAATAATTAATTTAATTCTTTATGACTATTTGTTAGTAAAGTGACTCTGTTCGTTTTGCTATGTCATTCCAATCTAACCTTACTCTGTTTAAATTCATGCTAAGTACTCCGATTTCTGTTAAATTAGAGTAGTCTTAATATTATAATATGAATTCTAGTAAAAACGATTATAATAAAATTTACTTATAGATACCATTGTTAAAGTATTAGTCACTTTATTCGTGTATTACAATAGTACATCATAACCTTAAAGTGTGTGTGTAAATGTAACTAACATGATAAATATTACAAATTAATTATAATTAAATGTATAAAATACTAACAAGTATATGCCTTATTTAAATTATTATAACTTGGAATGATTGTTACTTGTAAATGTATATTTATTTTCAGATGTTTCTAACACGTTCAGAATATGATCATGGCGTTAATACTTTCTCACCAGAAGGAAGGTTATTTCAAGTTGAATATGCTATAGAGGCAATAAAGCTTGGTTCCACTGCGATTGGAATTGCAACATCAGAGGGTGTAGTTTTAGCTGTGGAGAAGCGTATAACCTCTTCATTAATGGAGCCTACAACACTAGAAAAAATTGTAGAAATTGATAAGCACATTGGATGTGCTGCATCTGGTTTAATAGCTGACTCTAGGACTATGATTGATCGTGCTAGAGCAGAATGTCAAAACCATTGGTTTGTTTACAATGAGAAAATGTCTGTGGAATCTACAGCGCAGGCAGTGTCGAATTTAGCCATCCGATTTGGTGATAGCGATGATGATGGCGGTGCTATGTCAAGACCATTTGGTGTAGCAATGTTATTTGCTGGTATTGATGAAAAAGGGCCTCAGTTGTACCATATAGATCCCTCGGGCACTTTTATTCAATTTGATGCAAAAGCCATTGGTTCAGGAAGTGAAGGTGCCCAACAAAATTTACAAGAAGTATACCACAAGGTAAATTTGTTATTACAGAATGTCTTTAGTCCCTAGAAATATAATGTTTCCAAGTTTAATAAAAATAATTATATTTTGAGAATACTATAATTACTTATATTTCATATTCAATATACTCTGAGAAAAAATAACGTAGATCTTAATTAACCTTTCCATTTTTCATTACAGTCTATGACATTCAAAGAAGCAATTAAAGCTGCTTTAACAATTTTGAAGCAAGTCATGGAAGAGAAATTGAATGATACTAATATAGAAGTAATGACAATGACACCTGAGAAACTATTTCATATGTTCACAAAAGCTGAATTACAGGAGGTGATTAAAGACATTGCCTAAACTTCATAGTGTTTAAAAATATAATGCATTAATTGACATTGGTACACAACACTATTTGCGGCAGAAATATGGATGCTGTATGATTATAAATTATACATACATTTCTCACATAAAGAATATGTAATTTCTATGCAATGAACGGTTTTACATTTTTGTTTTTATTTTTTTTCAAAACAGGGTCGATCATGGTAAACTATTAAATGATTTTAGTATTAATTTATCCTTCACTTTAACTCCCAACTTTTATATTGTGTGTGTCTCTAGTAACACGATATAATACAATTTTTTTTAATATTATTTAATAATATATCATATCGTTTGATCACTTTTTTCTGTAATACTATTTTCAATTACATCATTATTTGCGTAATTCTCATCTTGTTTAAACTTTTAATTTAGTTAATCGATAATTTGCCGTCATCAAGAGAAGATTCATTAAGATCAGGATCCAATACCTCTGGTCCACTCCCATCCATATCCGTTAGTGGGTGAGAAATAGTGCAGGAGAACTTTATTTTATTAAAACTTCTGTTTCCTATCTCGCAACTGTTATTCATTTTCATCGAGGTACCATATAATAAACTATACTTATAGAATTGATTCACCGATTTTTTCATTTATTACATTATACATATTTTTCTTGTTCGTATTTTTTAATTTTAAAAAAGAAAAATATATTATTTTTATTTTATGAAGCGTGTAGGATAAGAGGAAAATGCCGTTCCTTTAAATAAAAAGAATAATTTATATACATTAAAAATTTTTAATATCGTGATATAGAGGTACCTAGTAATCAGAACAAATTGTAACTCTGTTTCTGGTGAAGTTAAAAAAAACTGTACAGAAAAATTCTACACTATTTGACAGATACCAGTTTTACATAAATGCATTTGTAAATATGGTTTGCAAAGTGCAATTGCGCTTTTTTTTAAATAGAACTCCATATATTTTTACACAAACCGTTTATTTATACTATTCTACGTAAAAAAGGTTCACAATACAATCATTAAGAATATATTTTTCGAAATAGTTTACTTTGAAAATTCATCGAAAACACATAGTTAATAAATAACATAGCAAAGAACATTGAGTTTTCCATGATAGTATCTTGAACTTGTTTTTATATAAAATTACACAATGAAGCAATTTATTTGAAAAAAATGTAGAGCTTCATTAAAAAAAGTGTAATTGCACTTTGCAACTGCATCAATGCACATACGAAAAAACTGGTGTTATAGTATAATTGAATCTATCAAATAATGCAAAGTTTATGTTTACGATTTTTGTCTAATTTCACTAGGAACAGAAAAACAACCTATCCCAGTTATTAGATACGCCTTGTATATGATACAACTTTTTTTATAAATTATTTTAATCATTGAAACTTATGTTTATCAATCTACTTTATCTGTATTTCAATATTCATCAAATCTGTCTTAAAAATCAGTGTCTTTTTATCTCATTGATTCCTCCAAATACGTTTGAGAAAAGTATGCAAATCACATTTTGAATTCATCATATAGAATTGGTTACACTTTCTTTATTTCAGTCTAAATTTTTCCAATTTAACAGCAGAACATCCAGTATTTCATTTCAATACTGTTCCACAATTTTTCGTTTCTTTAAAACCGAAAAATAAATTAACGTAAATAAGCGACACAAAATTGGTGAACTTAATTAAAATCGCAAGTCCACAAACACATGTATACATGATAAAAAAAATAATTTTATCTTCAAGTTACCATATAAATATAAATTATAATCGTGTCAACAAATTAGTTGATTCTCAAAGGGGATCATACAGCGTATTATCTAAGTATTATTTTCATATTGAATGTCTTACACGACCTATTAAAATACCAACGTAAAAAGAAAATTTTTCCTAAAATTTTCATTTTAGTGTGTTCTGAATTTTGTATACATACTAGAAATAGACAAAATCCATAATTTACTAGTAAGGGTCCTCTGGGCGCTGGCAATTTATCTATGGAAAAGCGGTGTTTTAAAAAGGGGACCACCGATAACGGAACACATGCCAAGCTTCTGGACCGCGTTGCTGTTGGATTCGCGTTCGAACGGAAACGAACGCGACGGATGGTTCGTTTTCGATTAAAAGCTTTCGGACTGTGAACGGCCGTATCCGAAATCAATAATTAATTTCGCCGGAGCGGACGGACGAACGGTTGCCAGCGGAAATGGTCGGGTACCGCTCGAGTTACTGCGATGTTCTGATAAAACGTCCCTTTTTATCCCGTTCTCTCAGCCGCCAGATTATTGGATATTATTCCATTTCAAGCGTTCAATCCCGCTACGATTCGCTCGCTCGGATTCCCACGGGGATCCTCTCTGCCGTCCACTGATTGTCGAAGCCACTTATATGTCACGTGTGCGTGCCTATATTCGAATTCGATTTAAAGTGCTACATTCGGCGAACATTTTTTTCCCCTTCGTTTCACTCGAAATACGGGAAATACTTTAACCCTTTGCGGTCGTATTAATCTTGTACCTTACATTATGTCAGACTCGTGGCGAAGGTTTCTAATATAGTTTAACAAATATAAATGTCATTCAGTTCTTTTGAGTTCAAATGAAACATTATTTTTCTTGTTAGCAGTTTGTATGGTTTAAAGTAAATCGAGACATAGAAAGAGCACGTAATTGTTTGTTTTATTAGTGCATTATTAACGATAAATAATTCTAACAAGTCCAACTGCGAAATTAAATCGTGAGGCAAGGAATTAATTTGATCTACAAACGAAGTTTTGACTTGTTTTGAAATTTTGATCAAATTTAATGCAATAATAGATTTTTATTTTGTTTTTGAACTTTTATTTATAATTTTTAATTTTATGTTTTAATTATTTTCATTTTATACAAACCAGGGTACGGTAAAAGTGTTCTAACGGGCATAGTTCGCCTTACGACCGCAAAGGGTTAACACGTTCACTGCCACAGGAACTTTTTCGAACGTTTTGTATAGTAATACATATTCTTTCATAACAATGGCAAATGTTATTAGAAATAATTATTAACACGTTCAACGCCGCATGATTTCACAGAGCAAAATACACAAAATGGTAAAGATATAATATCAAATCATTTAATTGAATCGCGTTATTATTATTGCGCGCTCATCTTGCTCAATGTCACTGCATTAGATAGCATTGTTTGTAATATACAAATGTTTTTAAGTAATCGCCGTTTAATTGCATGAACTATTGTAATTCGATTTGGCTAGGGGTTACCGGTGACCCCCATGGCGTTAAACGTGTTAATGATTCGATATCAGAGTACACTATTATATATTACACTATTATCTAGCTACTTGTGTTACTAAATATTTTTATTCTATATCAATTCTTTTATTGTAATTGTTCTCAAGCAATTTGGAAGCTCTGATCATCGATGACCACCGTAACACTCAACGTGTTAATTTTGTTTAACTTTAAATTAAATATTTAAAAAAAGAACTTGCTTTTATTTTACTAAAATTAAAACGTACGTTATACCAGTAACTTTATTACATATTGTATATTTCATTGTATCGATCCCGGAAAAATGGATATCTACATAACTTTAAATGTGAAATCTGAAATACGTCAAATTGACGGATGCAGTAAATCTAGTGTTAAATACTTCTAATTGGAAAATGGTATTTACCTACAATTGAGGCGAACTAAATAATCTTCGTATTTACTAAAGTCAATATAAAGGTTTCATCGAGAATTTGAATAAATATTTAAAAGCGAAAAAGTGATAAGAAGGTTATCGGAAAGGATTTATTATTTGAACAAGTTTTATTTAATAAGTTGGTATTATTTAAGATGATAAAAACATCTGCAATGTTTTATACATAATTATTCTATACATCGGTAATTATCCTATGTCTTCAGATGAAAGATGGGAGAATAAAACTACTGCAAAAAAACTTACAAGGAGAGTGCAAGGCCTTCGGGTCACCGACTTCGTTGAAACTTTGCATATTGGTAGATTTGGTTCTCCTGTTTATGAATATATACCATTATAAGGGCAGATACTCAATAGTTTTTTAGATATTCGTTATTAAAAATTTATCACGTCAATAAGTAGAATATTAATCAGAATAATTACCAAGTTGAATAATGGCGTGAGAGTAACGTTCTGGAATTGTATTCTGTAGAAGCTTACACCCAACAACATTGAAAATAAATCGAGTGCAAAGGGTTAATATCTCGACATTCTGTTCAAAGAATATTCAAACATTCAAAAAATCCTCCGCAAAGGGTTGAATATGAAGTTTCCTCGTGGAGTGATCGCGCGCTACGGGAGGAAATTATGGAAAAGGGCAGCGAGGAGAGAGGTCAACGTCCAACAATGAAGAAAGGAAGTCTCGATAGTGATACGGGTTTTCGTGGAAGGAGTCGGGCTAAGGGAAATGGAGTTAGAAGGAGAACGAGGAGGAGGACTCCGTAATTAACTGCGACGAGAG